TTAATCTTTTACACCCTCACATTCAGATCTTCATTCTCCATACTGCTTCTCATACATTTTCTGTGGTACTGACTGGGAGAATTTGTTTGACAATCACAAGCTTCTTTAGCTTGCAATCATTGTCCTTATTTTCAAGGAGTTAATATTTGATTCAGCAGGAGATGCTGTGAGGAGAAACTAAATCCCAGTCATTCTTACAAGTTTGAGAATCAATGTCACAGACATGAGTCAATCTCTAACAAAAATCTGCTTCATAGTTCATAGGACTCAACATTTTTTAATTACTTACACATATGTTTGCCAAAGCAAGATGAATAAGTCAATGAAAAGGACAGGAATGCCAAGCACCACAGAAAATATGAGCGCCATGGTACGTTCTGCTAAGTTACCTTTATAACCTATAAAAGTTTAAAAGCAAAAGCAGAGTGAAATTAACCTCAAGATAGATTAATTCATATTTTTGATGGTTTGCAAACTGTGGGACTCAAGTTAAAGGTTAGGGGGTAAATATGTAACCCATATAGCAGACTTTGAAAAAATTAACAAGTTCACAGAACTGATTTGAAAAAACAAAAAACAAAAAAACAGAAAAAACAGGTACATCCCAGTTTAGCTGAAAATTGCATATTGTCTCAATTCAAAAAATTGATTGCAGATGGTTTATTGGTTTTCAGTTTCCTGGTGCTTTATTTTAGATGTGTGTAGGAGGTTTGATTCCCTTTGAGGGACTTTGTACACAGAAGACATTGATGTTTGTTGTTTTGAATTCTGTAGTACAGTTAGTTGCACATTGTCATTTCTCAGTTAGTTGTATTGTGTCTTTTCCTGCATAATTGCAATATTTGTAATCTTGCCGGATTTTGTACATCATAATTCCTTGTTCCTTTACTTACTGCATCCATTCAAACCTTTTTGGTTTCGTTATGTAAAGCTGACTTTTGTTCTTTTTGCAGATGAATTAGGTATTCATTTTTCATATAAAGTTTTGTCAGTCATTTTTTGCAAGTCAGTATCCAGGGTTGTGATACAAATTTTGTAAGTGGTTTGTCTTTTGCCTTACCATTTGCTGAAATTAAGATTGGTTAAGTAAACTATATTTCCTTTAACCTTGTTTTTTGTTTTTTTTGTTCGCTTAAGTGAATCACTGAGTATTGAAGGACACAATCAAAAAAACTGTGTTGGAGTTTTATTCACAGACTCACATTTGTGTTTGGTTCCATGTTTCCATCTCTCTTGTTCTACCCGTTTCTACTTTCAGATTGGTGTATTTAACAATTTTCCAAAGGCAGGTAAATTTACAATAGGACAAGGTTGTCCCTACTAAGTAAATTACCTTTCCCTATCCCCCATCCAAATTTCAGTAAATAGGCCAGACCACAACACTGGGAGCTACATTCCCTAGTCTTCACGATAAGTGTGTGGGTTCCTTAACATCCCCTGCTAATCAATACAGGGAAGATGCAAAAGATGGGACCTATGGTTTTTTTTGTCCTCATCTGAGAAGACTATAATGTTTATCGATTTCTTGATATTATAGAAAGGTAGCACATTCTCCTCAGTTATTTTAAGTCCCCGAGTGTTGGTCCGGCTGGGGCTAGAACCCTCAAGCTCCCGCATGGCAGTCCGCCACTATACCACTTGAACAGATATCTGTTAAGTGTATCAAATAGGTTACATAATAAACTGCAAGTAACCTCACATACCTAAAAAGATTCTAACACCCTCTATGAAAGCCAGAAGAAAGATGATGATAATCTCAATAGTCAAGGTCTTTGCTGTGTCAGGATAAGGCAATAGAATACCTGAAATGAAAAGCACAGAGTAATATTTTGGACACATTGACAAGATTTTATCACCCAGTTGTATCGCTGAGTATTTTTACGAGTTGTGCCATATTTTGACGAGCCCGTAGGGCAAGTCAAAATACAAATAATGAGTAAAAATACTCAGTGATACTACACAACAAAATTTCTAATAAGTTATTTATTATCCAACACGCCAAACTGTTATTTCAGTGCGGGCGAATTTCGTGGATGTTTATTTACCAGGAGTGCGTGACAGAAGTATGCAAAGCGGAACGGAATTGCCGCATTGTTGTGTTGCTGTTTCTATTTTCTTCAATAAATGAAGAAATTTCCTCGTCGGCTCACTGTTTTTCTTCATTGAATTCATCTAATACACTTGGATTTACATTTGCCAGCCATTCTTACTCTTCGTCCCCCGAAATATAATTCAAATTATCCGCCATTTTTTTTTCATAACTACTATCCAATTCTTTGCTTGCCCGATGCGAGAAAACCTGTTTAACCGGTACTCTAGAGTACAAATACTGCATGATATTTGTACCTGCCTATGGTGTTATTTGTACTCTACGAAGTGTAGTTGGATAATAACTTGCATTATTAAAAACTAGATCATTGGATAATGCAATTCAAGACTTTTTATTGGCTCAGCCATTATGGTATATCAGCCAATATACCATAATCTACAAATATGGTAAGCGTACGTGTCAGGTTAAAATTAAAAGGGAGCTAAAAATTTAATAAAATTTAATAATTCAATTCAACGTTTTTAATAAAATGATTATTCCACTCACGCTTGTTGGATATTAGATGATAACAGCCAACTCGGCGCTACGCGCCTCATTGGCTATCTATCATCTCATATCCAACACGCGCTCGTGGAATAATTGTTAAATATTGTATGGTTAATTGGACAGTTGTGGAGTGTTGCAAATTAAAGACCTGTCACAAACGCTCTAATATGTATAAACGTATACATAGGTCTCTACCAAGCTACCTGGATGATCACCTAGTAATTAATCACAAATGTCATTCACGGAATACATGGTATGTTAATTTCAACACTATTTGCCCTAAATATAAAAGAGAAACCAAGGGTGGACACACATTTGCAGTATCAGTTTCAAGACTCTGGAATAATGTACCCTTATCTACTAGGAAAGTGGATTCTATAGCCTGTTTAAAGCATAACTTGTGGAGTAACTTTTTTATGGACCAGCAATTTTTACACCATTTTCATATTTAATGATCGAGTTTTATATGAAAATTGCATTTTTTTTTTTTATAATTTTAAGTGTTATTCTATTTTTAACCTGTAATTAGTTGATTAAATCAGGACCACAAGTTTATTAGCCTGTGGCTATTATGTGCTACCCAGTATAAATTAAGTCTTTATTATCATTTATTATTATTAGAAACCACTTCTCTATTATTTTACTTCACTTTTTTTCTTCCTTAAAGTGGATTTCTGGAACAGCATGAAAGCAGCTGTCTTGTGAGCTGAACTTTATTACATCACGTTGAATAGCCAGGTTAATGGAAAATGTCCACAATGGAGGGGTGCAGAGTGAATTTCTTTTGCAGCTTTCTAAACCAAATATTGTATGCCAAAAAAAGTCTTTGAGAGCTGAAAATGCTGTCAGGTGTAGTTTTTTTTTTAACATGCCTTTAAAAAAAACTCTTCTAATACTTCTCCTTTAAGTAAAGAAGTCCCATTAGCCCAGGTGGCATTTCAGAATCTGTAAACATACCTTTATAAACATAGAGCAAGAGTTCTGCAACACAAAACACCATAACATACCAAATGTTGAGAAAGAGAAATATTTGCAGCGGTAAGGATGACAGCTACGAGAGAGAGTTAAGGATGTTTCAGGGTTTTCATAAAGAAATGTAAAAGTAGAAGATTCATGTAAAGTAACAAGAGAATCTCCACCTCTACATAACAAAAGCTGTCCCCATTTAAATTTGGGCAGTGAATTCTGCAGGGTGGCTGGATAATTCTCCAACTACTGTATTTCTTCACCTATGTGCTGAGTGATTTTTTCAGTAATTGACAAAAAGGTTTGGAAGATTTTTTCCCTAGAAATGGGGTTCAGCTTATAGGCAAGGGTTTGGGATTCAAAACCAAATACAATTGCTGGATAATTTTGTCCCCCACCTGTAGACAAGTTTTTTTTTTAGGCATACACAGAAGCAGGAATCAGATACAATAACAAACCCAGACAGTCATTTAATTCACAATGAGATAGAGAGGGTAGCAATAACCATTTAATTACAGTGCAAGTTCTCCTCATAATTACAACATTCTAGTGGAACCTTGATTAAAAAAAGTGCCAAGGGACTGGGAAAATTGGTTCGTTATATTGAGGGTTCAATGTATCAAGATTCTGTGGCGTACATTTTACTTTAACTTTAGCCAGGCTGCAACTGAAGTATCATTTGTTATACCAAGGACTTCGTTATATAGAGGTTTGTTAAATCGAGGTTCCACTGTACCAAGAACACAGACGATCAGGACTGATGACCAAAGGGTGTTAAATTTTCAATAGATGAAACAACTAACAGCAGAATGGCGTGGACAGGCTACAGTAAAAACGATTTTGAGCAAGATAAGAGTAAGAAAAAAAAAATTCACATTTCAAGGAATAACTCAGTTTTGATTGTGAGCAAATAGTGTAAGGGATGAAACAATGCTTGATAAATTACTTGAATTGACTGTTGTAAATACAATTTATTGTCCTATAATTGACATATTTTAGGGATTCCACTGAGATATTAACATAAAACAGTGAAATTTATCTTCTAACATCAAATCACACCAATTGGTAGAGAAAGAAAAGTTATAAGAAAAGTTATAAAGAAAAGTTATATGGGTTATTAATCAAAGGATACTTCGACAACCGTCTTCCCTGTAAAATAAAATGTAGCAAAAGCATATATTGTGGCTCTGAAATAAAATTAAATACTGTAACCCTTAACCGTTCCGAACCTTTTCCTTTTATTTTCCTTCTATGACTAGCTGAGAATTTCAGCTCGCTAAAACAAAATCTTGAGGACATGCATAATTACACCACTGTTTTAAAAGTACAGCAAATCGAACCTTCTTATCAAACCAAGTCAGTTATGTTATAAACAACCACCGAATGTGATCAAAGAAAAAAAGATTTAGCCATAGACGATGCTCTTCCCAAACGTACCTCTGTTGTTGCCCGCCATATTTGTTTCCTCGCGTAAGTTTCCGCTGACCTGAAAGAGACCCTTCGTAATGGGTTCGTTCGAAGAAATCTGACCAATCAGAGTTCTTGTATAATTGAAATAAGGAAGTTTATTTAGTGGCAAACCGCAAAATTTGACGAGTGGAAACTAGTCGATGCGGCAATTTTACAAGAATTGAATTGGAATGGGATGTTAGAACAGATTATTAAAAGCTGCTTTCTCTCTCCATCATAAATTTTTTGCAAGGACCAAGAAGGGTGAAATGGCTTCATCCAATTCCTTCGCAACTGCAAGCGGTATGTGAATTCTTTGAAATTTCTGACTGTCGAGCATTTAGCCCCCAAGACTGTTGCAAACCATGGCGACAGAAATAGCCTCATTCTTCCTTTCGGAACATTGTCTCCCGGTTAGCTCAATTGGTTAGAGCGCTGGATTGAGTTGTGCGGGAGGTCGAGGGTCCGAGCCCCGGCCGGACCAATACCTTTCTATAATCCAGAAATGGATAGATATTCTAATCTTCCCGGATAAGGACGAATAAACCGTAGGCCCCGTCTCCTGGTAGGGTTAGGGGTAGGAGACGTTATTCATTTCCCACTCACGAGATTACTGTGTGGCGGATGTC